TAAATAGGTACCGTCAACCCGGGTGACTTGGAACTTGGAGGTGACTTGGAACAATTGCATTATTTTTTGATAACAGCGGTTAATTTTATGCTAGATAAGGGAAATAAAATTCTGTCTCCACAAAAATATTTTTCGGAAAGTTTTGTAAAAGTTTTGTTATCATCGAAAATGTGTTATCTCTTATCAATAAGCCATGTGATACAACCATAATTTAGTAAAAAAATCCAAATTTTCAAATCCTAATTTAAGAGCTTTGAAAGTGTAACTTGAGCTTCTAAAATCAAGGTATTGTTATTTTTTAGTGAATTCCTAATGTGTTGTTAGTGTTAATCGCTTAGTAGAATTAGGAAATAATATTATTTACATTTTTCAGGGTTGTTTTTATTTTAGGTAAAAAAAAAGTGGGTCACTTGGAACTATTATAAATGTATACCCGGCAGTCGTACGTACCGAAATTAACGGTATTAAATTTCGGTAATTATACCGAGAAAAATGGTTTTTAACACTTTTTTTTTTTTTTAAAAATATTTGTAGCGTTCCAAGTGACCTTCCACATATGATTAAATGCAATCTGCATTTGAAAAAACGCATGTTCCAAGTCACCCAAAAATCCGGGTGACTTGGAACAAGCACTTTTTATTTTTTTTTTACCTTAATTTACTTAAGACCTTAATTTTTTTTTGCTCAATCTATTCCTTGGAGGTGTGCGACACTGCATGATTTTTTACAGAATTTAATTATCAATAATGAATGAGTTACAGTAGTTAAAAGGTGAAAATCGTTCCAAGTCACCCGGGTTGACGGTACCTAACAACCATGTACAAGCCTGGATTAAAGGGGGGCCAAGGGGAGCACGGTCCCGGGGCCCATTGATTTTTTGGGCCCATCTTTATCACCAAAATATATTTTTTTAACGCGTTCAATAGTTTTCAAAAAAAAAAAAAAATATTTTAGTAGGTAGGTATATTATAGTAGGTAAATTATTATTAATAATTATAAAATAAATATGTTCTCAATTTTATAACACCAAAAATTAATATCAATAATGAACTATGTTTGCCAATAATTTTGTTTGTTTGTTCGTTTTTGCAGTGATGGTCTTGTCTTGTTCTTGCAAGTCTAATCTTGGTCTTGGTCTTGGTCTTGCAGCAAGAGTCTTGCGAGACCGCAAGAAAAAGACCAATTTTGATCGTCACTAATGGCTGTCTAATGCATACTTTAGAAGATCATAGTTATAATAACCTAGCTAACCAAAATTGATCATTTGACAGTCAAAATGTTTAGAAAAAAAGCTTTAGTGGAATCTATAAAAATACATAGTGGTTACCATTTGAAAAAATAAAGTCGATTTTATTATTGGTACAACTGCGTGTTTAAAAATGTTCAATATGTTATAAAATAAATTGACTGTTAAAAATAAAGAAACGATTGTCTTTTTTTGTTTTAACGAAATTCCATATCATCGATCCATACCTAATTGTTAAAAAAAAACAGCATACAATGACATAAGATACACCATTTATATTTTTTTAACCTACATTTCATTAATCACAACAATATATTATATACATGGTCAAGCCCGGATTAAGGATCAATTGGGCCCCGGGACACCATACACTTAGTGTTCCCCCTTTCAACTTTAACTTCAAAATAATTGTATCATTACATATTAACGACTTTATATTATTTATATTATATTATATTATTTATATTATTTTATATTTAAATAAAATAATCATGTGAGGATAATATAATGTTGTGAATATTGATTTAACATCATTGAAATCAGAAATGTTGCTGACAAAAAATTGTTTACAAAATGGAAATTTGGATTTTGATATACTTGGAATAAAGAAAGTGGTGACTGAAGATGTTTTTCCAAACTTGTTTAAACTTATTCAAGTAAGATTAGTTATTCCTATAAGCTCAGCTACTTGTGAAAGGTCTTTTTCATCTATGCGCCGAATAAAGAATTGGCTTAGGACAAGCACGGAACAGTCAAAATTTACAGATTTGTCAGTTATTAATATTGAGAGAGATCTAAGCAATAAAATTGATAAAGATAAAATAATAAATAATTTTGCTATGTCTCAAAGGCGTATATCTTAAATATATATTTAAATGAAAATAAAAAACGTATTTACCTGTATTATATATTTATTTTTCAAATATTAATAATTATTGATTAATCAGGTAGTATTATGAATGCATGAATGGTGTTATGAGGGTGGTGTGGGGGGTGAAGCCCCCAACGGGTTACTTTGGTCCACATAAATCTAGCACCGCTATAAAATTAGCCCAAATTGCGCCTATAATTCTCAATAAAATATTTGCCTAAAATTGCCGCCCTAGGCAACTGCCTACTTTGCCTGACAAGGAAGTGTCCGGGTGTGAGTGTAGTGTCCAGTTAATAAAAGGTACTTTTTTCATTTAAATAAAGAAATATGTTAACACAGAATTTAAACGACTAGGTACATTAAAATCACGAACACATTTGACAATTTAATTTTTATTTTTATTGCTGTTAATGTAAATTATAAATTTGGGGCCTAAATATACAAGATGTAAATAAATTATTATATTAAGCAATCTAAACAAAAAACAATTTAATAATAATAATTTAATTTAAACAATTTTGTTTCAACATAAATTATTACAATATTTCTATAAATTATTTGGAAGTGTAGTTAAACAACATATTTCAATTGAATGGTAAGTAAGTATTTCATTTTCAATGTACCTACACACAATTAAAATTAAACATAAAAATCAAGTAAGTGTTTGATTTTCAATCTTAAATAATAATTAATCTCAAGTTAAATAGATAATAAACATTAAAACTTATAGTTTTAAATGTGCATTAAAATTTAAATATTTGTTAGTGTGTTTAAAACCTGACAACACATAGAAATTGACTCAGGTGCAGCGAGATCAATTTTAACAGAAAAATTGAACAAGGAAAAATAGCCTAATATTAAATTAAATAAAGTAGATAGGCACTAAATTGTTAGTAGTTAAAAGTTCACTCAGTCATTTTCCTTTGTTTAGTAGATACCTGATGAAACTAATTAATATTTCTCTAGTTCATGAGCATCATACTATACTATACTATCATTAGTGTGAAGAGTAATCAGGAACAAAAAGTTGTACTATTACTAGATGAGTTAAGGACATTTTTGACAACAAACTAGGAAAGCATAAAGATTTTGAAATTCATTTAGAATTAAATAGTGAAGTGAATCTTATTTTTTGTAAGAATCGCTTTGTACCCTTTGCTTATAAAATAGCTGTTGAAAAAGAGGTGTAATAAAGAAAAGTGAGAATTGTTAGGGAGGCACACCGCTTGTTTCAGTACTTAATAGTTAATCCAAATGGTGATATTAGATAAAGGGCAGATTACTAGACTACAATTAATAAGAATCTTAAATATATACATTACCCTTTTCCATTTGAGGAATTGTTTAAAAGTAGGTATGTGGTTAGGTGAGAAGTTCACTAAACTTGATTTTAAAAACACTTACATGTTTTAATCAACTGAAGGTAGTGTTCTTTGTTTTGACTTCTTATTCTTTAATATTTGGTAAGAAAGATGATAACATATTCTTTTATTTTCAATTTTTTCTCAAAGTTTATTTAACATTTATATCCTATGATGATACTAATATACATATTATAAAATAACCAAATATATTTTCCATTTTAATTTTATAATTTTATATTAGAATGTTTCAGAGTCAATAAATACAATTATAACATTACATTTAACATTGCAAAACAATTGATGCTGAAGCACCATTAAACATTTTTATTACTGGTGCTAAATTCAGTTTAAACTAGACTGATTGCTAAACAAATAAGCTTTTACAATCAATGTAAAACTAATTGTACAATTATTAATAAAAATAAAATATTTCTTTTGCTTCGTCAAATAATTTGTAAAATGTTTTTAGTAATACAATTAGGTATATATCATATTATATTTGTATTTATGTATTTAACTGCTATGAACTAACCTAATGGTTGGAAAATATATATTTATAAATATGCCTTAATGCCATTAAGTATAATGATATTATAATAGGCGAATAATAGTGCTAAAAAGTATTAATTATGCTAATTTGTACTTTAAAAATAATAAAGCTATTGCTTTATCTGTTCATTTGTTTTTAATTATGGTATCTATTATTATAGCTATATAATATACATCTATATTATATCTTACCAATTTTCCATTTTCATGCAACAATTTAATTAATATAATTAAAAATAAATGAACAAGTTAACTTTTATTATCATTTTATAGTCTGTAATAGGTTTTATTATATTATTGGAAGTTCTGTATAGGGTCATCTGTATGCATATCCATTACAATTCATAATATAGATATTCCTAGATAAATCAAATTCTATTATGTAACAATATATTAATTTTTTTTTTAAATGATTTATTCAATAATTATTAAATAATAATTAATAAAATATTTTCTGAATCCGAAGGTGAGTGTTTAGATACAATTAACTTTAACACGTTCACTGCGTACTGACGCCGATTGGCGTCATAAGTATCATTCAGCAACGCGTTTGACGCCATATGGCGTCTAATATACATTTAAAATAAATGGTTTAAAATTCCCTACGCGTGGCTGAATGTTATTTTATTATTATTTAGCGTGGATTAAACGCATGTTTTTAAATATGTATACATACGTCGTTATGAGCAGTTTCTTTATATTTTTTTTTTAATTTCTTTTGTTTTTACTTTTATCATACGCACTGGGTGAAAACTGCAAAAAGACATACGCAGTCAACGTGTTAAGCATTAACAGTCACACGTCATGTCTATGATCATGATAAAATTACCTAGTATCTTAATATGGTTTTAAATATCAAAAAATTGTTATAATTAATCATATTATATCAATAGTAATTCAAAAAATTAAATACAAAAATAAGGTACACCATAAAAAAAAAAACATTTTTAATCATAATAATTGAAAGATTTTAATCAAAATGGTTATTATAGTGAAATTGATTATTTGGATTATTTGGATTATTTGGAATATTTGGATCCATTGGTGGTTGAGATCGGTAATCATACCCTGGTGGCATGTATTGTTGTTGATGTGGGTAATTATGTCTTGGTGCGTGCATTTGATCATAATACCATGGATTGTATGGTTGGCGGTAGGCGTGACTGTAATCCATTGAACTTAAATGCTGAGCATAGGTAGGAAATTGTCTGGGACCGTTATGGTCATGGTTACTATGATTAGGAGGATGGGGGTTGTATGTTTGCTGTGTTCGGTTATTGGAATTTTGATAAGATGGATGTGGTGTCATATTCCTTGGTGTCATACTCCTTGGTGTCATACTTCTTGGTGTCATACTCCTTGGCGTCATACTCCTTGGTGTCAGAATTCTTGGTGTCATATTCCTTGGTGTGGAGTTATTCCTGACCACACGTTGACTGGGAGGATCAGGCGATTTTTCCTTATCTACTATATCATCATCTTCTGAAATTTGTATACATTTTTTCTGTCTTCGTTTTTTCTTTGCTAACTTTTCTGCTTCGTCATCAGAATAATCTAAAAACTCACAAGGAGGTTCATTATTGTCTCTCCATGAAGCATCGCTTCCTTTCATTTTCATAAGCTGAGACACCATAACATAGCTTGCGTATTCTGTCTGAGGAGCACAGTATACAGGTTCTTTAATTTGTATATCAAACTTTTTGATATGGTTAGAATCATTGAAACGAATTGCGTAGAAGGGTTTAATTACAGGCCCAAATACATCAAATATTCTTCCTAAAGCTCGTTTTCCCCGATCCACAAATAGTACAGAGTCAATGTCCAATGCAGGTTGATTTAAAAATGCTTCTACTATAACTGGAAAATGAAAAAAAAAATTATGATGATTTTGTTATTCAGCAAAAAATACAAAAGCAAAATATTTTATGAAGATTTTACATTTTTAAAGAAGATCAAAAATAGTTCTTTTCAAATGATAAAGTTACACTTGCCTAAAGTATCAACAACACTTTTAATACATCCAACTGGTTGACATTTGGCTTCGTCCACTGATATTTTTAAATCTTCAATGGGTGGCAAATCACTAATATCTAATTCTCCTTTGGTCTTAACATATTCTTTTGAACATGTATTGGATGATACAGAAATGATGCTGTTTTCATTATCAGAATCAATCAATTGATCATCATTATTTGAATCATCATCATCACTAATATCGCTATCATCAGAACTATAAAAAAAATAAAATACTGTTAAACAATTTTTAATTTTAATTGATTTGTTGAAAGTAAAAGTAGGTTGAAAGTAGTATGGAAAAAAATTAGTACTTATAATAAATGTTTAGTATTATGTTAAGCTAAAAATTGTTTTTTTTTTTTTTTTTAATCAGTAATTATTACTAAAAACTCTACTTAATACTTAGTACTTGTACTCTATACTTAAAGTATTTAAACAGAAAACTAGATAGGTAAGTAAGATTGAAAGCAAAATAAATCCCATTGAAATATCCTACTAATGTCAAATATAATTATATACAAACCATTTTGATAGTTATTCACAATGTGTTACTGAATTAAGAGAAACAGCTTAGATAATACAAAAAATAACAAAAACAAGTTTATTTGATACACATTTTTAGTACATTTAACCTAACTTCCTAACATCAAAGGCAACAATTAAATGATACTATTCGTATTATACGGGATGTAACAGGAAGACATGACATATTAAATAACTTGCTCCAATCAATGTTTTAAAATTGTTTTGTTCTTTATAATTTATTAACTTGTGCGCTACACGTATAATATAATATTTGTTTTTATTTTTTAATACAAAAAATAAAAAATTTAAAAAACTTGATTGTAAAAACATTTATCAACTGGTTTATTTTTATAATTTTTAAAATTTAAAATTTTTTTGAAGTAACAATAATTTGAAAAGTACTAACTTTTAAAAAAATTATTAAAAAAGTATTTTATTTCAAATTATTTCTATTAAAAAATTCTCATAAAAATGCATAAAAAGTTAATAATTTTTGAATCTCAATAAATAAACTACAAGACTTAAATAAATGTTTTTACAGTGAAACTTTTTCAAAATACCAGATTTACAAATTGGCTAATAATAATAATCAGCAGGGCTTAAAAGTTCATGCATTTGCATATAAATCTTGCTAAATTATATTCAATGCTAGATGACATAGAAATCCATATCAAGGTACCATGGTTAAATATATAAAGTCTTATTTTGCATATTTCTACATATATAGAGGTTTTTTGCCTATTTGGCATATTTATGCATATTTCTATTTTATTGGGAATATTATACATGATTTTGATATTCCTATTCATATTATTATATCAACATGCATATTTTTATAGAAATACTTTAAAAGAATCAACACTTGACGAAAAAAAAAACGTGATCGTTTAAAATCTGATTGTTAATTGTGGGATAAAAAAATAAAATATAACAATCGAAAAATAAATGGATAATTCATATTATTTCAAAAATATTTAAGTGAATCATTTTAGATATTTAGTGTATATAAATGCATATTTTAAATTCTTAATGGAACGATGAATGTATTGATTTAACAATGATGTGTGTTTAGTTTTCAAGTTTTCAAAAGCGCCGTGAAAAACAAAAGAAAAATTAAAGAAAAACTAGAATTTTTACACAAAATCTGTTTTTGAAAAAATCGATTTTGGTTTTTGGTGCAACTCTTAAACAAATGACCGTAGGTGCATGAAATTTTGACTGAATGTTTATAATAGCATTTTCTATACACCATAACATTTCCCAAATATTTCGACTTATTTTGAGCTGTTAAGGGATATTTTCAGTTTCCATTTTTTTTTCAGTTCGAATTTAGACAAATTTATCAAATTTATTTATTAAAAATGTAATAATTATTTTGTAGTTAAAAATGTATAAAATGTTCAACTTTTATAGCTAAGGATTGAAAATTGAAAACAAGGTTCCATGTACATAGGGAAATATATAAATTACTTTATTCACAATAATATCATCAAATATACTAAGTAATATCATAGGCTGACTGACCGTTTTCGCTCAGAATCGTTTTTCTTATACAATGATATTATATCATTGACTTCAAATTTAACATCATCCATTACAGTGACCCTCTTGTAACCTACTGTACTGCGACATCCACTTACCTACCGTTTTTTAGCTTTATTTAAAATGTTCCCTACATTTTTAAAACTAATTATCTAAGTTTTAAGAGGAATAGCTCAAAATATTTTAGTACATTAAATTTATTTACTAATACCTATAATATATTAAATATGTATACTTATTATATTTGATTGGTTTAAAACACATTCTTATCATTTATTTATAAATGGCTTAAATTATTTCATAACATATTGTATTTTATCATTATAAACAATAAAAGTAATTTATTACTAATATACGAGGGCAATTCAGAAAGTAACCTCCGGTTGATTGAAAAAAATACACCAAGTTAAGTAAAAATATTTTAATATATACATCTTACAACTACATCTTTGCACTATTTTTCGACATAGTCTCCATCACGATTGAGGCACTTATCGTATCTCTTCACAAGCTTTGAAATTCCTTCTGCATAAAAATCACCCGCTTGTGCCTTGAGCCAGCCTGTGACCGCATCTTTGAGCTCTTCGTCGTCATCAAACCGCTGGGACCCGAGCCATTTCTTCATATGCATGAAGAGGTGATAATCACTTGGCGCCAGATCTGGGCTGTAAGGTGGATGGTTGAAAACGTCCCATTTGAAGGACTTAAGAAGGGCTGTTGTTCTGCGAGCAGAGTGAGGACGGGCGTTATCGTGCAAAAAAACGATACCGGAAGTCAGCAGACCACGGCGTTTGTTCTGTATAGCCCGTCGTAATGTTTTTAGTGTTTCACAGTACACGTCTTGATTAATGGTCGCCCCACGTTCCATGAATTCAACCAACAACACCCCTTTGGCATCCCAAAACACCGTTGCCATCAGTTTTCTGGCAGAAAAATCTTGCCGGGCTTTTTTTGGTTTGGTAGGCGAATCTGAATGTGCCCACATCTTTGATTGTTCTTTTGTCTCAGGGTTCACGTACTTAATCCAGGTTTCGTCACCGGTCACGATTCTGTTTAACAATGGTTCTCCTTCGTCCGCATAACGTGACAGAAAGTCTAATGCAGAGGCCATTCTTTGAGTTTTGTGGTGGTCGGTAAGAATTTTGGGCACCCATCGTGCACATAACTTACGGTAACCCAATCTTGCTGACACTATCTCGTACAAAAGAGTCTTAGAAATCTGTGGAAAATCAGTAGACAACTCCGCCATTGTGAAACGTCGATTTTCACGAACTTTTGCATCAACTGTCTGAACGAGTTCGTCAGTCACCAAAGATGGTCTAAAACTCCTCTCTTCATCATGAACGTTTTCCCGTCCACTTTTAAATAAACGTACCCATTCACGGACAACTCCTTCACTCATAACTTTTGGTCCGTACACGGCACAAAGCTCACGATGAATAGCTGCTGCAGAGTATCTTTTGGCTGTAAAAAACCGTATAACAGCACGCACTTCACATTTGGCGGGATTTTCTATTGCAGCACACATTTCAAACTGCCACAAAAACTAAACAAGCGCAGGTACGATGTTCACTCGACTACAGCTTGATGCCGACTGACCTGCTGAGCGCGTCCCAGCGGTTTGATGACGACGAAGAGCTCAAAGATGCGGTCACAGGCTGGCTCAAGGCACAAGCGGGTGATTTTTATGCAGAAGGAATTTCAAAGCTTGTGAAGAGATACGATAAGTGCCTCAATCGTGATGGAGACTATGTCGAAAAATAGTGCAAAGATGTAGTTGTAAGATGTATATATTAAAATATTTTTACTTAACTTGTTGTATTTTTTTCAATCAACCGGAGGTTACTTTCTGAATTACCCTCGTATTTCTTATTTATTTTTATCATTATTATATTTATGTTATTTTATTAGAACATAAACTTAAATTATAAGTTTTAGCCCAAATTATTGTTAACTTTATTTACACTATTTTAATCAGTTAAATGTCCTTTTATCCATATGATTGTGTCAAAATTGCATCACGTCTAAGTGGTTAATTTGTTGAATTTCGATTATACTAATAGACTTTTATAGATTAAAAAATATGAATATACTAACAGACTTTTATTGATTAAAAAATATGAATATAAACTTGAGGAGTATTTATATTGACTAAAACAAATTATTTCAAACAAATTCTTATAAAATAAACAAAAATAAATTATAAAATTTATACCTTGAGTCCTGGTAGTTTGTAGAAATTAAAGAGAGTGTTGACGGTAAATTTCCTTCGGATAATACAACAGTTGACCTAAAAACAAAAATAACTTTAGTCAAAGGTTTGATAATACATAATATAGAGAGATTAATAAAAATTACTTAGAATCCGGTTCGGGCAATATATCGAAATCTTTTGGAGCATCAACATTTCTATGAAAAATATTTAAAACTTAGATATAATGTCATAAAAATGTATATTTTGTTGTATAACTTTGGTATTCTAAACAAGTGTTATGTGTTAAATGATTTATAAAATGACTTATAAAGATGCCAGCCCGGATTAAGGGGAGCCAGGGATCCCACAGCGGTATCAATACTGCGGGCAGGTAGTACGTTTCCTATAATACAGTAGACACTAGACGCCGCTTATAAGACTCACTTTGGGACCAGCACAAAGTGAGTCTTATAACCGAATGAATCTTATAGGCGAAGTGGAAAAAAAAAAATTAATTACGTATTTATAAATTTTATTTTACTACATATTGTTTTGATTTTAATACCTTAACACATATTACATATTACATACTTTATTATTGAATAAATTTAATAATCCTGATAAAAAAAAAACTAAAATTATAATAGTTAAATATTACCTATAAAAATATTATAAAAATTATACATAAATAAAAAATTATAAAGGATGTATGTACATATTATTATGTATTTATTATTTATTTTTATTATACGTTATAAGGTACCACCAGAAACTAGAAATAATCAACACGAATATTATTTAATTTTTCAATACCAATTTATTTCTAAATTATAATCAAAAAAGTTTATTTTCTACTATTTAATTTACGAAATTTGAGTCTTATAACCGAAGTGTTGAGTCTTATAACCAATTTTTTTTTAATGTATTTGGATACGTCCGGACCGTTCCAGACGATTTTGAGTCTAATAAGCGACTGAACCTTATATCCGTGAGTCTTATAAGCGGCGTCTACTGTATATTATGGATAGTGGTTTATTATTATCCTATCGTAATATCATATATTCTTAGCAGAATGATCATGATAAGGAAATGGGATTTATGAGAATACCGTAGATTACGAATTTTTAAAAATTCAAACATTATCACTAGCTATTATAGATAAAGCAATTAAACTGTTTTGGATGTAAAAACATATAGTTATTAGCTTATTACCTAGTCATTAGTAAAATAAATTTTAATTACGTTGTTTTTTGAACAAAAACCATACAGGTCTTGCACAGTTGTCAGTTGATATATATATTTAAATACATATCAGTCATATATTCATATCAGTGTCATGAGCCAGGATATTTATTTTTTTATTGGATGGGAGGCCTGATAATGTGTTAACAATTAGTTGGTTGTGGCAAGGTTCCTAATAGTTTTTGGGGGAGGAGGGTCATAGATGATTGTTTTAAATAAATTACACAACTATTCATTTTCCAATATAATTTGACAGTAGACTGTCTGAAGAGTTTACTTCCCAAAAAGCTAGAAAAAATTACTTATACAAATAACATTTTAATTTTTGTATTAAAAAAAGTATCAAATAAATATAATTTTTTTTATCTGAAATATTTTATTTTTGGGTCACCAATATTAATAATTATGTTTATGAACCCATAAAATTCTTTGGCTCCAGGCCCTAAATTATATTAATCCAGGCTTTGAAATATGCATATTTCTAAATGTACTAAAATATCTTTTTAAATGAGATCAAAATATTCAGTTACAAGTTATTTAAAAAATAAAAATTCAAGATAAATACATAATACCAGCCTGTTCAACACTATACAATATCTAATATAACTTTTTAAATTAATAGATGAATACCTACTTTGATTTTTCATAGTTTTTAGATATACTAGCAAACGAGTACGGTAATTCTGAGTGATCCAAATCAGCGGACTCTGAGCTAAAAAAAAACTTTATCAATATACATAAATACATAATTTAACAATTAAATAATCTTTATTTTTAAATACATACAACCCACTATTATGAGGATAGTTATTATGAAAACGCTTATTTTTGTTTTTTCTCTCTGACCCATATTCAACACTTCAAATGCTTTTATTGAAATCTTAATTTTATATAAGTGAGTTATAACAATTTTAAAATGTTCATAACTTGTTTTAAAATTAATATATCAATAAAATACTATGAAGTATCTTAGATAAAATTATTACCTTCAAGTTTGATAATAAGTCATTTCACTCTAATCTTGAAGCCAACAAGTAACACAAGTGATTAGTTCATCTGAACACAAATTTGGTATGATGCACATGGGGCAGAGAGAGGATACAATAATGCATTCATGACTATACAACTTAAAAATATTAATATTTAAATAAAACCCGAATTATTGACTAACAAATAACTACATTAATTAATTAATTAATTAATAACTCATGAGGTGGCTAAATCATTCATGAATAAAAATATTATTTGTACAATATTTACATTTTTTTTAGTAATAATACAACTGGTAATTGTTTTAAAAATTTCAATATTTTAACATAACACTCTCCATACAATTTTAAAATTGTATAATATGTGTGGATATATAATATAAATTAATTAAATTTACATAACTGAATAAACATTTAGGTATCATTTAGGTAAATACCAGGTACCAAAGTTTAGCTAATCCAATAAAAGATCTTTAAAATATAGGTTTGACTTACCATATCATACGACTACCAAAACAATTACTCTCAGCCGTTTGAACACAGTCACTGTTGTTATGATTCTTTTCTTCAGTGATTTTTATAACATGTTTATCACTTTCATTACAACTAAAAATGTATGAAAATTACAAAATTGTACATATATAATACAAATATATCTTAATTACCTATATATTGATGGAAATCAAAAAAAAAAACTAAGTCTTATAATTAAAACTTAAAACTTATCAGTGGCGCAACCAAAGGGGGGGTCCCCGGGTCCAGACCCCCCCCTGAGTATTTATAAAATGGAACATTTTTTAATTAATTTGGGAATATAATAATATATTGTAAGTATAATAAATTTTGTTTGGCGTTATTGAGATTTTTCCTTAAGGCAACTGCTAAATCCGGCGATGAAAGTTTTATATTAGCAAGAGAAAATTGTGGTAGAAATGCACAATACATAAGTTGGAAAATACAAAATGAAATTGTTAGCATTTGTTATGAAATTATTTCATCAAAAATTGTAAATAGAATTAATGAAAGTAATTTTTTTTCAATAATAGCGGACGAAACCGCTGATATATCGGGTACTGAACAGTTTGCTCTATGTGCCCGTTATTATGATAAGAAAAACAAAAATATTCGTGAAGATTTTTTAAAATTTATTCCAGTACATGATGTGAGTGGTAAAAGTTTAGCGAATCATATAATTACTGAATTAAAAAAATTGAATGTCGATGTAAACAATCTATGAGATCTTGTGAAATCAGAAATTTTACTATGGAATCGTTATCTAGATGATAGTAACATTAAAACAAAAAATGCCATCAACATATTGAATAATTGCAATTCAGATTTATTTCCAAATGTTTTAAGCTTTTGCAAATACTGGTCACACTTCACATCTTGCGAAGCTGAAAGATCATTTTCTACACTCAAACGCATTAAAACTTACTTAAGAAACTCAACGTCCGAATCGAGATTGAATGGACTAGCTGCTCTCAATATTCACTATGATATTGATGTCAAGTCCGAAGAAGTAATACAGCGTTTATCGAATTTAAAGCGTCGTTTAGACTTTATTTTATAATTTTATTTGATATATTTTCATTATATTTTTTTTTATATATACATTTTATTATTAATATGGTAACACAAATAAAAAATACATTTATTATTAACACAATTATTTATGTTTATATCTGTTGTAATATAATTTTGGACCCCCCCCCCCCAAAGGATATTTCTGGTTGCGCTACTGAAACTTATAATATAAACATAGGTAATGATGTGTTTGATCATTTTCAATTTTTAATAGTATGCCGTAATTATACTCAAACAACAATGCATAATATTATTAATTCATGGTTAACTTAATATTTTAAAATAAAAACAAGAACAAAATTCAAATATGAAAGATAGATGCTCACAGTTTATTAATTATTGTTTCAACTACTTCTTCTGCTTCCATATTAATATCATTAGTAAATTCCTGAGCCGTAGTATTCTCAACATTATTTTCTTCATCAGCAATTCCAAAAAGTCCATTTACAATTAATGATCTATAAAAAATATGAAAATAAAACTGTATTCAATTATGAGAACGCAATATGTAGAATAAGATCTATATTCCATTAATGACTGTAGACAAATTATAAAGTATTTTTTTTGTTAACATACATGAAACCTTTAAGACGCAGCTTTAATATTTGGCAACAGGAACAATGATTTAACTTAAAGTCGTGCTGTACGTTCAAAATATGTGTACTGTTGTGTAAACAACTATTTGTAAAATAGTGGTAATAAACTACATGAAAAAGTTAGAAATTTAATTTAAAAACACCATTTCTGGTAAAGCGATTAAATGTGATTCAAAAATTGTTTCTAACCCGTTTAAGCACACACTGACACACTATATAATCCACTCACATGCTGAAACCTTTAAGTTATGCTACTTAGTATGATGGTACACTCACTCGTTATTAACGTCAGGAGTGTATTCGTCAGACGAATCGGAAATTTCATTGTCCATCGTTCAGTTACAGGTATTGTTGGAAGCAGTGTTCGAGTTATTGGTTGACCGTTCGGAGGGGCAAGGAGCTCAAGACGACGAAGGCAGTGTATTAAGGTGTTGAGCTGAGAAGTTGAGATGTATAGACAGTAATATTATTATATCTCAAATTATTCCGAGATATTAAAATTTAAAACCACAATATTAACACATTTGCTTTCGCGCTTTCACGCACGTGAGATAATGATAACACGACATTTTGTAGGTTATGGTGAAAAGTAAAAAATCTTATCTGAAATCCACACCGGACGATAAAATATTCGGATCAGTAGAGACCAAATTTAAATAAAAAAATAAACGAGTTCCCCTTTGCAGTTTGCTTGTGATCTGTGCCGGACAATTTCTAAAATGCACGAGATTCGTGGATATTTTTCGACCGATTTCTTATCAATTTTACATTGAAATATTTTTAATCAATTTTTTGTTTAATAATAATAATTTCTTTAGTTCATTTTTTTTTTGCTTTTGCGTATAATAGTATAATACAGTAATACGTTAGTAGTCACTATCCATAAAATTAAAAACTGATCTGTCAATATTAATATAAATAATATTAAATCGGTAAACGGGGAAAAAATAGAAAATAAGCATCGAATCAATAAAACCAAATCAAAAAAAAAAAAAAAATTAAGGAAAAAAAAAATAACATAAATATAATGTCATCATTTTGGAATTTTGCTAATACCTATAACCTATTTTAAAAGACTTATAATAGTCCTAGTTACATATATGGGTATTCAGATCAATTCAATACCTTTTTACTTTATTATACCTAGCTATATATTATATTAATAAAAATTATATTTATTTAAAGTTAAATTTTTTAATTATTATAAAAATATTACCGAATTTACTCTGCTGGCCTTAAGTTGTCAGGTCCATTATCTTCAAAAAATTAAATATCGTTTACCTACCTCCAATGTTCATTTTCCTAAAAATATTTTTTGTTCTAAGCTAAATCCGTTTAGCCGTTTAGGTACTATCAAATATTAAAATTTTTAGCCGATATTTAATCCAGCAATAAGAATCTAGGACAAAATATCCAAATGTATCCGTTTTTCCAAAAATAAGAACATTACACTTTATTTTCTGATAAAAGTAGCTCAAATATGAAATTATTTAATTATAAAAATATACCTAATATAAAATAATAATATAAATATAAATACAGTAAATTATATAATATATAAATTACTTCAGTAGTACCTAATAATATCACAAATTATACTGCACACACATTAGTCAAATAGTTAAATAATATAAAATAATTTGTTTTTATAAATACAGTATACACACAATAAAATAAAATATTAAATAATTTGCTAAAAAAATGGCTATACCTACACTATTTTTTAAAAATTAGGAAACACGTTTTTAAAAATAGCAAAAACATATATATCAATGCAAAAATTAAAAACTCAACGCAGTTATGGATTGAGAGAGATATAGAATTATATAGAAACCTGATTAGTTCCTAGATCCTTTTCAATTTTATTATAATTTTTTTATTTATATAATTTTAGTTGTTTTGTCAAAACTCAAAATGCTTGACAATTATTTTACATTTTAACTATACATTTTATTTTATGTTATTTGAGTATTTGACTAACGTTTGTGCAGTAATGCAGTATACTTTGTGATATTTGAGCTAATTTGATTAGAACTTATAGAAGGTAAAGTGTAATCTACTAATTTTCGTATTAACTGATAAATTTAGTTATTTTGTATTTTTGTCAGTGGATATCTTGACTGATTGCCCAGCAACAGTGTTGTGTAGGTACCTACCAGGGCCAGCCCGGAAGGGTTTCGGACCACTATTCTCTGTAAGCAACCGGCCATTTTCCTATATTTCCCTACTTAAACTAACAAAATTCTACCAAATACTATAATCTATAGTATTTGATATTACATTTTTCTCAATAGTTGGTAGAAAACCTTTACCCACATTTTATAAGAATTAGGATTTAGGAATTTAGGATGTTTCTATGTTGATTACAAAGAAAATGTAAATTATATCAATACTTAGGTATAAATCAGTAGGTAACAGCATGTTAAATCAAATCTAATTATAGCGTATAATTATATATTTATCTAATTATGTGTACGAATGTACAATAATAATTTACATGAAGTATGAGATGCGTTTTTTTCTTCAGACATTAATAAAAAAAGGTGCTGTGCTGTACAGTAGGTTACAAGTGGGTCACTGTATAATCATTATAATTATAATTCAAATTTAATACTATCCATAATACTATAATGGATAATATTAAATTTGAATTCAATGATATAATATCATTGTATAAGAAAATCGATTCTGAGAGGAGAAGTTCAAAAGATTCAGTCTAGGTATAATATAAGCAGTCATTATATTATAATGATTAATGAAGCGCGGAAACGATTTTTGATCATTAATAATTTGCTAAATACTCGTTCACAATATTATTAACCTGAGTCACCGATAAGGTGAATATTATGAAATTTCAACAAAATAACTAAAATAGTTATTCTTTGTTTTTAGATTCTGAGTGAAACGATGAATGCATTGATTTTACAATGATGTGTGTTTTTTTTTTTTTTATTTTTTTTTTGTGTCTGTCATCACGTTTTAGGACAGTAAAAGTGCTTGGATTTTCTTCAACAGTAGCTTTTCTGATAGGAAAGTGAATCTAGTTGGTACTTTGGGGGGGGGGGGGGGGGTAAAGTGAAAAGTTTCCAGTAGTTTTCAAAAGCGGCGTGAAAAACAAAATAAAAATTAAAGAAAAACGGGAATTTTTACACTAAAATCTGTTTTCGAAAAAATCGATTTTGGTTTTTGGTGCAACTCTTAAACAAATGACCGTAGGTACATGAAATTTTGACTGAATGTTTATATTAGCATTTTCTATACACGATAACATTTTCAAAATGTTTTGATTTATTTTGAACTGTTTAGCAGTGTTTAGGGACGTCTTAATTTTCCATTTTTTTTAGTTTTTTTTCTAAAAATATCAATAAAATTTTATTTGTTGGTTGCGAAAGCTTGAAAATTTAATAGAAGGCTCCTAGTATATTGTTTCAAAGGCAGATGAAAAATATTAAAAATCCTTGGTCACAATTTTTTTTTATAAGCATTTAAACTTCAAAAATTGACAAAATATGGAAAAGTCACGAAAATTATCAAATTATTTTGAGTTAAGAATTCGTAAAAATTTTTTTTTTTTTATCTAAGATTTTAAAATGTAATAAAAGATTACTCATAAGTTTGTCTACCTTTATCAAAAAAAAATCTCTACCAGAAGGTCAAACTAAATTTTTATAAGCGTTTGAAATTCAAATTTTTACAACATTGGATATTTACTCGATTTCTCATGTAACGATTTCCTTATTTTGTTGTAATTCAAAAACGAATAACTGTAGATACATGAAAATTTCACTGAATATTTATATTAGCATTTCCTAAACACTGTACAATTTTGAAAATATTTTGACTCTTTTTGAGCTGTTTACGGACATTTTCAGTTTCCAATTTTTTTAGTTTTTTATTCTATAAATATCAATAAAGTGTTATCTGTTGGCCAAAAAGTGTAAAAATTTAATACAAGGCTCCTGATATATTGTTACGATATCAGTTGAAAAATATTAAAAATACATAGACACAATTTTTTTTTATATGCATTTAAAAATCAAATTTTGACAAAATTTATCAAAATCTCGAAAATTATCAATCATTGTAATTAATAAATTATAAAATGTTCAGTTTTTATATAGCTAAGGATTGCAAATTTAAAACAAAGCTTCTCATAAATAGTTCATACTGTAACCAAAATATCTAAAAAATATATGAACACAGTTATTTTTTACAGACATTTTAAATTCAAATTTGGACGAAATTACATAATAAAAAACCTAGAATATCTAACTATTTTAGTTATTTTGTTGTGATTGTATAATATTATTCGTGGGTACTTGAAACTTCTAAAGTATACTACTATATATATCTATGATAGTATCAGGGTTTATTGTTGGTGTATAACGCGTTATAAGTACCTAATGGATATTGTGATATGATTAATTTGGAATTCATTATAGGTCAATTTTTTTTAATACCATAGATAAGTATATGATACCTATGTCTTATACCTAGAAGGAAATACCGTCTCCGCTCAGAATCGTTTTTCTTATACAATGATATAATATCATTGAATTCAAATGTAATACCATCCACTATACAGTGACCCACTTGTAACCTACTGTACAGCAGAGCGACACCCACTTGCCCACCTTTTTTCATTTGCTTATAAAAAATGAATGGATAGACGATAGTGCTAGATATTAAAAAAAAGGACGCTGTTGCACTTATAAAGTTCTTCTTTGCGTGTTGTGAAAATTTGGTAGTTCTACAACAAATATGGTGCGAGAAAAGTAGCAGAATAGTTTTTGCTATGTTGTACATTTGTAAGACGGAGACAACATACTTGCGTCTCCAATCTCCATCTTACCAGTGCGTAACATAGCAAACTTACGCTCAGCAGAGCACTCGTGGCCAAGACCAGATTAAGGGGGGTGGGGGGTCTAGCCGGGGCCCAAACAATTTTAAGCTGATACACATTATTAGTGATTTCAAAGATGTTCGGTAGACAGTTTAATTTTTGCGCCTAAGTAACCTACTTTTAATTATTATGAGAATATTATTTTGTTGCAGCTACTGATTTCTGTATAACTAAACATATTATAATTTTTTCGTATATATTCTTTATACCTGTATACGCGTTGCCTGCTGTAGTATTTTCAAAGGCTGTAGTAAACACGTGCTATGTAGGACTTATATACCAAGGTGTCGTCGACACATAAAAAGCGTGACCGAAGCGGTGGAGGGGAAAAATCGACCAGCTTTTATTATAACATAATATTGTGTATAATTATTGGTCTGCGACGTCTTAGAACAATATACACCGGAATTATGCCTCTGGATCATTCTATATCTATAAGTACAAGATGTATTGCTATTACCCTCGAATATGCGATACGACGATTAATAACACGACGGACCTTCAAATAATTTCCAGAAAAGTCCTGTGGCCCTATAGATACTTATATATTTTAATAAAAATTATAAATAATGATACCGTCGTATCGTTCGACGTAACGTCTCTAGGGGTGAGTGACGGCGAGGGTAGTTACGGGAGGAGAGACACGAGCGACGAGGAACGTCGACAGACGGCGCATATTATTATACAGTCGAACACATAGTATTATAATAGTGTGTCCGTACATCGGACACGCCCACCGAGGCATCCGATTGGTCGGCCTAACCCCCGCTGGTGGTACAAAAAGTTAGTGCCCCACCGCGCCGCTCGCCAGGCCCTATCAAGGCGGCGCGGGAGTTCCACAATTCGATATTAAACTGCCGTCGTCGTATTACGTTATTATTTTTATAGTCGTCTCGTCGTAGTCATCGTCATCGCGACGTCATTGTATGTTCGGTGCCGACGGTGCTAGCTCAACTATAATATTATAACTACTACATCACGTGTAGTGTTTCAACGGTGCCCACCACACTCCACAGTCGTCCGTTGTACAATCGTAATATCGCCCGCACTCGATTTATAATAATAATATTTTATATGTTCAACGAAATTAATGATAACAATATCCACTCGTATACAAAATAAATAACCATTATCGACGTCAGTAATATAATATATACTTGCAATAGCGTCAGTTGCACGAAAAACGTCCGATGCTCATGATGAACGATTTCGGGTCGATGGGCCCGGGCAACATGATGCCGCCGTCGTTCAATCCCATGTGTCAGGGGCTGTTCGAGCATCAAATGCCCAAGCCAAGGCTGGCGTTCAAGATGCCCCGAGTGGTGCCCGACCAGAAGAATAAGTTCCAGACGGATGATCTGTTCAAACGACTCAGTCGCGAGAGTGACGTAAGTACAACGCTGTATATACTGCAGGGCACTTGAGTAGAAAGTATAGTCTACATTGAACAGACACTCCACTTTAGATATAGGTTGATAAGGGACATAATGTTGTCATGTTGTTTCATGATTTTTATTAAACTGATTTAATTCAAATAAGTAGGTACATCAGTACACTATAATACAAATAGCTTCCTATTATCAATACACTATAATAGGTAGGTTACCTAATTGAATTAAATCAGTTTAAATACAAATCATGAACCAACATTATGACTTATTAATTATACACACACACATGAGACACCGTACTTATGCAAGTATCTACGACGAACAAAATATTATGATGTATTGCATTAAAATGATTAGTAACATATTATGGTACCTACACAAGTAACTTAAACTCTCACTAGTCAATAGTCATTAAATCGAAATGGATTAAAAAAATATTTTTATCAATTTCAAAGTAGGTACCTAGTACACTTAAACACTTTTATGATTGAACTATTTTATAGATACTTATTTGAAATAAAATAAAATTTCGGTAAAAAAATAAATTATGTCAACTGGCCAAATTACACTTTTTTTTCCATATTGGTAAATACAAAATAATAATAAGTTTAAATGTCATTGTTATTACAGTTCTTTGTACTTACAGTAGGTACACATAAAGTTTAGGCATCTATATTATATAATATGTCACACTATATTTCACGTATTACTTCTGTATCGAAATCTTAAAATAAAGTGCAATTTTTCCACAGTTGTCTCGTTCATTGCTGAAATAATTAGGTATACGTAAAATATAACAAATATTAACTAGATTCTAGGTACCTACTACCATAGTAAATCGTGGGTTCTGTCTCTTTTAAGACTTTTAAGTGATTGCCGATTAGTGTATACCTATAAACAGCTGCACGCCTACACCACGGACGAACTCGACCTATGAAAAAGGTAAAAATTAAACTCGGGATATCATCATCAATTTTATTCTAATGAGAACATACTTTTATTTTCAACAAAAACTAGTTTTAATCACAAAATATTATCTATTAATTATCGAATAAGTTCATTGATATAGATAGTAATACAAGTTCAACATAACATAAATATTTTTTTTTTAAATGTTCTTCCGTCCTCGTCACCTTATATTATTTTGTTGTAACTGTGTTCAGGAATGAGTTGGTTCTTAATATTTCATAATGAAAATCCATGTAATTTAAGCCATACATTTTAGTTACCAGCCGACTTTCTACAGTTTCCGTATTCATTTGAATATTTGATTATACCAACGTCGGTCTAAGTGGTAGTTAGGTATCAACGAATTATCAAACACTATAGTTCTATATAGATGCGTTTGATTCTGGTAAAAAAAATACGAATTCAACAACTGCCCACGTCGTTTTCTTTTAATATTTTTATAAACTTTTGTTCCAATGAAGTAATTGGAATATTTTGCCCTCGAGTTTAATTTAAAGAACATTTAAGACTTCCTACCTATATATAAATAGGTAGAAAGAAGATAATAACATCGGGCTGCCGTGTAATCACAATGCGTAGGTATTTACCAATATTCGTGTGATTAATTTACTTTGCTATTGACTGACAAAAAATTAAAATTAAATCCATTTTACTCAAGTATGAAGTCAAATTATTATGGTAATGCGGGAATTTATGAAACCCAGTGATAACACACAAAGTTTCGAAGAAGTTTTTTTATTCACTGGGATATGAGTTCCCGAACTGCAGATAATGTCCTGGAAAATCTGGAACGAATGGTTACGATATATTAAAATATACTATACACGGGCCATCACAGATAGGTACTGCCTGCAAACTAAACCTATATTCATATAATCTAATATTTATAATAGTATAATAATATAATAAACTGTAAGCTTTCTATTATAATTTCTAGAAATCTTAGCTCAAACGCATATACATATAATGTAAAATCATACTTATTATGCTAATATAATATATAGTATTTTAATAAAGTAGGTTCCTACGTCAAATATAAATTTGTTGGTTCTGTGACTTTAATTTATTTGTGGGTGTACAATAATCTTACTAGCTATAGGCAAGGGTAACTATAGTAATGTTATAAAACTGATATACTCAATATATTAATTATAATTTTAATATAATTTTTATAGTTGCTATATTTTTTTCTAATTTGAATATATACTTGTCTATATAGTATATATTATTCTCTATATTACCCTATACTCGATAGTATGATAGAGTAATGTATAATGCATTACCTAATGCATGACGTGTTACTATAACAATATGGACGCAAAATATGTTACTCATTTACGCGTAGTCTAAAATATATTTACACGTGCATATATAACCTAAATAATATACTATAGCTACTATATTTTATTTTACAATATATAATGTGGTATAATGTATAAGATTTATAAAACTGAACCCGCACAGTAGCGTGACCGATTCGTAGAGCATTATTTAACGCCCATTGCGGTGGTTTTTTCCTTTCAAATGCCTCTGTACTCGCTCTACGGGACATAAATTTTCTGTAATTTACAGTTATTCCGAATACCAATAGTTTCTACATTTTCTTTTTTATCTATATTCGTACCCATAATATGAATGCGTTGATAATAATACGACACTATAATACACTATTATAGAAAATAGTAACGCGTGTACCTACTATACTCGGCGCAGTTAAATACAAAATATTATTTACAGTTATAGTGGTGCTTAACTGGAGGAGAATACCCTCTCACTCAGCCTATATTCTTTTTTGAATATTCCAGATTTTGTCAACAACTGCTGGTGTTGCTCTAATAATATGCTATTTTCTAATTTATAAGAAAAGCAAGACAATTTTTTTTCACCAAATTTGCTACCAGAAATCATTCTCAACGTTGAAGATTGAATTATTATTTTTCAAACGCTCTAAAATACGTCATCAGTCACCACCCCAAAAAAAATAAAAATAAAAATAAAAAATAAAAATGAATCACTTACCATATCGTGAAACCAATGCATTCGTATTGTTTCGCTAAGAATCTAAATAAGTATGAAGCAAATATTAGGTATAGTACAAAACTCAATACAGATAATACGAAATTATACCTATCATAGACTACATTAAACCGTCGACCACCTTAAAAAACTATTTTTGGTCGATGAAACAATTCAATAATAACACATTATATAGCACAATATATTAAACCAGATTTTAGAATGCTAGAAAAAACTATTTTATATAATATTATATAAGTATATTATATCAGTACAATTGTATGTTTAAAAAATATGCTATCTATATTATATTGAATTTAATAGTACCTATATATATTATTATGTTGGTGCATTTATACGTACAAGTCATGTCTTGAAATTTCCATTAGCTGGTTGATCATTATGGCGGTTTTTACTCACAAAAGAAATATTGACCGAAAGAAGTCATTAATCGTGATATAAGACAGTTATCGGAGACCATGTGGCCTTTCCAGTCTGTGACACTTTGCCGCCACTTTATGGACGTTGTACTTGATATTTTGTATTACCACACTGACCGCCACGTGTGTCTAAAATCTTAATGGTCAGTTTTCAAATGATTCACATGTGCAGCTGATAGAACCGAAACCATATTATGTGGCTAACACCTAACATTAGGTACACGAAACTGCGTATAGGTACCTACGCTCTACGCACTATACCTACATTTATCCACATTTTAGTATAATTTTAGTATAATATTTTGAGTTGCCCTGTAGGAATACATAGATATCATTTTGGTTATGATTATCTTATAGCCTATATAGGTGTATGTGTATAAACTATAAATCACTTATGGCATATTATATCATAATTTTTTTTTTTTAGTTGACAAAGAATAAAGATAAAGAACTACGTAATTTAGTATGCGTTTAAAGTTTTTTATAGTCAATTTAAAACAGTTAACTTGATGTAAAAATGTTTCATAAATATACAGTCATACATGTATGATAATATGATAATATACTTTTTTATACAAAATATTATAATATAAGCTATGGCTAAATAGTTGTTATCTTGATTATCACATGACGTACCTATATGGGCTATCACTAAAGTCTAGAGTGACAAGTTGCAGACAAGGCAGCAATATGCATTTGAATATATTTTTGTACATATTTGCATCTATTATCTACTTTTACACCATGGAAATATAAAATAAGACATAAGTATCTAAAATATTGATTACTATTTATTCTGAATAATTAAATATAGTACATACCTTTTAAACACTCCTTGACTTGACTATACATATAAGGTTAGAAGTCTTACCAATTCAAGACAATGTATTTAAATAATAAGTTTAATACATTATAAATTATAATTATACATCTTAGTATAATAACCCTTATAAAATTATTCATAATATAGGTATAGTTGCCTAATTCGTGAATTGAGTAACTTTTATTTATGTCCACATCATGAATTATGAAAATAATTGTTTGCTATATCTATATGAATTTTGCAAACTGTATTCTATACTCTGCAGTGCACCCGTTTTTTGGGTTGGGATAAAAGTGAAGGCTAATTGGGCTATCAATATTTCACTTAAAATGCATTTAAGACTTAAAAACGTAACATAATATTATTATACATATGTCCTAACCATCCAAAAAATATATAATAAATATCAATGAAATGAATAGTAGTTATATTTAGAATTTTTTTTTACAGGTGAGGTATACAAGCTACAGAGACAGGCCTCACGAAGAACGACAAAACCGTTTTCAAATGGGTTGTCGAGAAGGACACGTGGACATCGTACGTATTAAATCAATAATAACGATTCGGAACGCAGCCGAGTACCTACCCATTTTTTCCAGTTTGTTGTTTATACATTTTTCATTCTCGTTTTGCTATCATTATATAGGCTTTCGCCACAACGGGTACAAATCTGCAACTCATGTTTACACCGAATATGCCGTCGATGACATCTTACCACCAACCCACTATTGGTTATTGCGATTTTGAAAAAGAACAAGGAATGGTAAGGAAATACATTTAATATATTGACGTAATTTATTTTTTAAAAATCAAAGTTAAGATAGTAAATAGAAATTAGAAGTTTATAGACAAATAAGTTTGTTATTTATAATATCTAGGTAGGTATACCTATTGGCTATTTGTATAGATAAAAGAATATAATTTCGTTTGCTGACCAATATGATTGTAAAACCATTAAGCCCATTACGGTACAGTTAAAATAAAAATGTTAAAGTTAAAACGTTGGTATAAATACGTCTAATATTAATATATTTTTGAAGTACATTACATTAGTATATATTACACTATTACATTGGCAGTTAGGTAAGAATCATATTGAGTGGCTAATACTGGCCGAAAACCCACAGTTGCCGAATTTATTTCGAATATTTCAATACCTACCTATATTATAATGTCCAAAATACGTCGAGGACAAATAAATATTAAACATTATGCAATTATCGATACATAGTTTCTTCAATAATAATTCAACCTTAACCTGCATACATCAGAAAATATATGCCTGTTTATTAGGTAGGTATATATACTAATACTAGTAATAATATATATTACAAACATTGCAGTATTTGCAATATGCCTTTATATAAGTGTTTAAAGTTTAAGTGAACATTGAATAGTTTTCAAAAATATCTGCTTTTGCCTTTTATATTGGTGAACAGTATAATAATATTGTTCGGAAGTATTGAAGTCGATGTCTCGTGAAACATGACTATAGATATTAAATGGATATTGCCATAAATTAATGTAGAAAAGACTTGCTCAGGTGAAAAATATAATTTATCATTATGATCGGCGAACCATAATATTATAGGTGTTGGATGTGTTATTATGATGAGCGTTAAAAGTGCGTTTCTTACTGCGGAAAGTGTATAATATAAATAATATATATATATATAAATATCGATCTATGACATTTTGTGAACTACCCCCCTCCCTCCACACACACACACACACACACACAAGAACTTATATATATTATAATGATTTAGAATAATGACATGACACAATGAAAATACTTCCTCTTTTCTTTGAAATTCTATTCGTTATAACAACAATAGTGCCATTGGAACTCTGAAAACAAAATGGCGTCAATTATAATCCCTCCCCTCATCCATGCAACCCTCTTTTTTGAAAGCGTATATTGATCCGCTCGCGTTTTTCCCCTTGTCAACACTCGGCCCGTGTTTTGGGAATGCTCGCGACAATATAATAATATTATAATGCTATAAAAACTGACGACAGTATTACGGTACCTACGTATAATATTTACAACAAATGTTAATAATATTATTTACAGCGACCGGTGCAGTTGGGGTTGTTTTTCAAGTGTGATAAATGTGATGTAGGTATAAACATATTATATCGTATTATATACACCTACTGCGTTCATATATATATAATAAAGATGAGATTGAAAATGGAAAGGCGAAATGCACGTTTGTGTAATTGTGTGTTTTACAGCCGACTGCGATTCGGACAGTCTGAAGAAAGTCATATAATTTCTAAGTAAAACCGTTGATAGGTATTCGCTAATATTATATAATGTAACATTGTGGTTTGTCACTGCATTTTATATTATAAGCCCAAAAACGTTGTTTAATTTGTTGATGTTTTAAACAAAAAAATCATTCAAAGCTTGTCATACAGGCCATGGTTCGTACTTCTGCCGAGTATAATATTGTCCTCCAATTATTATAATATAGACGGTCGACACGACGTAAAATAAGTATATACTTATACTCTTTACAAACTATACCGGTGTTGTCTTTACACCAAACCAACCTTAGTCGGAATATAACGTACAAATGTGTATGAGGTTAACTCAAATCGGTGTTGAATCTACAACAGTTTTCTATGTGTGTAGGCACAACATACGATTGCAATGGGAAAAACGAAACTCTTCGCATAGTTGCCCCCTCGCGACGTATTCCTGCACGGAATAACCATACGATTTATTATTATATATATGATAGTATCTATATACATAGGTACCTAAGTATATTATGCAATAATTGAAAAATTACCCGTGAAAAAGGCGTACACCGACGTATAGGTATTATGTTACTTTTACGATACGCGATTTTGACAGGCCTGACAAATTTACTGAAGAGCTGACAACACAATAATATCATCGTACAAGTACGCCGGGTTTCAATTTCAGATGTTCGCGAGCATACAATCTTTTCTTTTCTTTTTTTTCACCCTCGTGTTTACTCCGGCTTATGTGTATATATCGCTATTGTTGTGGACCCGGTATTGTACCTATATACACCCATAATATGTATATATACACGGTAATATATATAATATTGTTTAATGTACGAGTGAAATCACTTTTTTTTTAGTCTACTGGACACCGACGCATACTGAAAAGACGGGTGGATGCGCGGGATTGGTGTGCCTGTCTTTTGATGGCCCGAAAAAAATAGATAATATCAATAATAAGTATTATATGTACCTCGTTACAATAACAATGATAATAATATATAATAAAAAAAAAAATTTTTGAAACACTTTCGAATTGACTAAACAGATGCAAGACATGTATATATAAAAAATGTAAAAACATAAATATTTCGTATGTAAAACTTGACCCTCCAAATAATATATTATATTATAATATTATGTAAGTATACTCAATAATATGCCCAAAAATGACATATTTCGGATTATCCATTATAATGTAAGTACCTATATATCTTAAGATATTATGGTAATTTATTTTCAATGGGTTGATTAAGTATTATACGACGTAATGTCTATTAATATGTATAATAATAAAGAGTTCAACGATTTTAGTGTAAATTATATAGGTACACATTTATAAATTGTAATAAAGTGGACTAACAATAAGACGATTGGACTTCATAGTAATTGGCACACAATAATTGTACGAAATGTCGAATCGTCTGGGTGCTGTTTTTGAAATAAAATGCTGTAAGTCCATGAATTTCACTGTGGGAGTAGGTATATGGAAGAAAGAGCGATGCGCATCAAGTTTTAACGATGATAAATTCGGTACGAAGTATACCATTTTAATAAATTAATTAATATAACATGTAAGATATTCCAATATTATTATATTATTATCATAACCGAGATTCATTTTCACCGTTCTTTTACAAACGCACGACGCTTCGGCCTTAAAGACGTTTAAAGATAATTAATTTTGGCAAAGGTCTTACAACCCGAGGCGTCATATATTGCGATACCATTAAGTTTATTATTTTGTTGTAAATATCGCCGAACAGCGATCGTACGCCAATCTCCTGCGCCGTACATATCCGTGTGTAACAATAGCGCCGTTTCCGGTATAACGGCGTATATATATTATGTTAAATACAGTGCGACAGAAAGGTCGTTATTATTACTGCCTACAGGCAACGAACCCCAATTGGAAACATTATGTTATATAATGTATTATTTTATTCTGCAGTTGGAATTTCGGGAGGGTCGCGAATGACATGTGAAATAATTACTAAAACAAACGTCATATACATCTCTCGAGCAGCACGCGGCATAGTTTCAACGCGTTGACACTAAAAATTATTATAAAAGTGTTTAATTGTGTGGCACGGGTGTTTGTACCGTCGTGTATATATATTTAGCTGGTACCTATAGGCGGTGACCTTCAGGAGAGTTTTATTCACCGACACATCGGGGTTATTATAAGACAAAACAAATCAATAATGGAATAATCAATAATAAAATTAAACCCAGCACCAGGTTATGTACCAAGGTGGTACGTCGTACGTGTGAGGCATAAAATATTTTGACTAAAATTTCTATTGTTTTAAGTCCTAAATAAATAAAACTATTGTGATTTAATTTTAAGTATCCACCAATAGGTACCTATACGGCTATACCTACGTATGATATAGATGACGCCCACGTGGAAGAATATTAACTTGCATCCGTTTGACAAATGCCAGCCGGTAATTCATAAGACAATTTTAATGAAGCTTTGCAATCATCACGTATTCGCGTGTATAAAGTATATACCATATAGCAGTGATCTTCAACCTTCTAATAAAGAAGGCCACTTGGTATTTAAAACAAAAGACCTTAGACCGTATTTGTACCTACCTAGTAAAAACATAATATATTTTATAAAAATTCAGCTTTCTATTATATTTTCTATAATTATACTTTTAAATTGTATATTAAAAATTGAGGTTCAATTGTATAAGTAAATACATTTTTTAAAGTGAAACTTCTTTACAGTAGACTACAGAGAGTAGACAGAAAGAAAAAATGACAGACTTCTCCAGACAGATTACTAGCATTACATAATTAAAACCAGACAGAAATTGCCGAGGTAACGGTAAATAATAATAATAATAATTATTATGATTTTATAATTTTCGCTGATCGGTATTCAAATTTCAAAATTTGATTTTGTTATCAATTCGGTTCCTCCGAAATAAGTTTCACTTCACCCACTACAAATCGCATAAAGCACACTTTTTAATGCCGGGATAATATATTATATTATACCACACCCAATATTGTAGGTAGGTACCTACACCTTTTTCACGAAAATTAAATTTACTTAAATTCATTGTACATAGGTATTACCTATATAATATAGTGCGTATATTTTGGAAGAACTATAATTATTACTCTTATATTACTTACTCGGCTACTCCTGCATTATAGACTCCTCGATTCGTATAATAAGAAGCTAATAAAAATATACATTTTAATAACGACAAGGCATTATTATATATTTTAACAAACGAGCTACGACAATAGTGTATCCTACAAACGATATTATAAAATCGTATAGGTATTAGGTACCTACTACACGCATTTTATTAAAAAGCGTCTCCCCTACAATCGTTCCCATTATGCAGTTAGTTCACGTGAACGCCTTTTCGGTCAGTGGTCACTTGCGATTATTAGTCGTGTCCGTCGGAAGTAGCTGGACTTTCGTCTGCTATTATGACTGTGATTATATGGTTTTACAATCGAAATGCCGGT